ATGGCTACTTAATATCAGTCTTACTATTGAAGAGAAAAGAAATTACTACCTGTGAGACTTATTACAATTCATTTTTTGAGAGCACTCTGACTAGTCCTGGTGGACTGGAAATGTCTCACCACCCAGTGACTCTATCTCCCTTTAAACTGAGAGCTAATGGAATTTGCTATACAGATCTCTGTTTTATTGCCATTGCCTCCTTAAAATTTTTACTCAAATCTTACCTTTTCAATGAAGTCTATACTGAGCCCCATTTAATAGTGCAACCGTGGCCACCTCCCTACTCCCCAAGCCTTTTTTATCCTGTTCAACTTTTTTCTTAACGTCCATTGCACTCACCACCTTCAAGTACACCATATCATTGCAGTTTACTGTCAGGTAGTGGGAGCTCCATAAGGGCAGCGATCTCATGATAAACTCCAAATGCATAGCACTTAGTATGTGCTCAAATATTTGCCTTTTTAATGAATGAATCAACGTTTGCATTCCCTTGTTGTGTACCTGGAAGCTACGTGCTGTTTTCAGCTGCAAGTATGTGTGCTAACGTTTAACCTCTGAAACTTGTGGATTGTAAATTGGAGTGCTTCTGTCCAGAACCCAGAACTACCTGTCTGTATCAAAGTGAGATTGAAAGGCAGTTTCTTGAAGCAGAGCGAGGTCTCCCTTGCTTATGAGGTTGTGTTCCTAAGGGGAATTTTGCTCACTAATTTAAGGCAGCTATATCATTTAAATGCATCTCAGTTGTTTCTCATTGCCATCTGGCCATGTAATTACTTTTAAGTAAAGCTTTGTATAGGATGAAAGAACACAAATTGGAAATCTGTGATAATATGTATGATAATACTTGTGGGGTTTTTTGTTGTACTTTGCTTGCTTTGCTTTTGTTGTTCAAAAAGTAAGGTTAAGGAGGAGAAACCTTTGAGGAGGAATCATTCCAAAGCTTTCCCTAGAGGGAGCCCCTTATATAAATTTTATTCTTTGACTAAGAGCTTTTGTTAAAAGCTAAATGTTTTAAATTAGTGGATTATTACATTTTTCCATTCAGTTATAAGTCTGGCCCAAAGCTATGAAATAAGAGTTTGTCTAACATGTTCCAAAAAACTGTTTTGCCATGAAGTGGAACTGGGGAGAGACATAAGGTGCATTCTCTTCCTTTCTCCCTATTCATATTTTCTGATCTGCATTCTTTTCCTTTTTGTTCCTGTCCCTTTACTCTGGAATATCTTTTTCTAGTGCCCGCTTATCTATCATTATTTCTGATTCTTCCCTCTTTATTTGAACCCCAGTTCTCTGAGGTCAATGTCAAATGGACAAAAGAACCAGAACTCAGTTCAGTATATTTGAATTAAGAGAAACCCAAATAATGTTTTGTTTGAAATTACTCTTCTCCCTCACAGGGAGGGGAAAGTTGTGGAATTTTTCAAACCAGGCGCTTAGCTGATAATTAAATTACAAAGCTGATTCACAATCACTGGGGGTGGGGGGGGAGGAACTCCACTGGGTGAGAAGACCAGCCATACTAATTTGCACGAAAATGCAACCAAGTCATCATTTACAACTCCGTGGAGATTCTATTGTAAAGTTTTACTGCTTGTAAACGGTCCTTTGGTGTGGGAGGCAGAGTCTGGGGGCGTGGTCAGGGAAACAATAGTTCAGCTCTTTGTTCCCCCCCGTAAATCAGTTCAAATGCCTGAATTAACTGGAGAGTGAAAGAATCAAAGCAGGCTTGCTCTAAGACTTGTCAGCTCCAGTTAAAAGATCTGGATGTTCACAGTGGCCTAGTGAAAACGAGGAACACGTTTGCTTCACCTTGACTTCTGTGGAGGAAAATCTGCACTCCATTTGTGGACTGGAGAGAGGAGAAACTTCGATCTGTCGGAGAGAACACTACATAAGTGAGCACCAACCCAGAAAGACCGATGTGGTTGTCATGCAAATAAGAACCGTGATTGGCTTTCTCTTTCTTTCTGCACACGTTGTCACAGGGCAGCTCTCAGCCTTAAAGATTAGGTTTCAGTGGGAGCTTTTCAGGTTCAAGGACTGTTAATGGTTTGTAACTGCCTGACACTAAGCTCAATCGCAAAGTTACATCGGCCCCCGGCAGATGTCTAACGATTTGGGACGGAGAAGAAAGTTCTGATCTGGAGCAGAGGGATGCAGCTTACCACCTGCTTGCTGAGCTGGGCTTTTAATGTGCTTTAAATTTCTAAGCCTGTGCAGACATCCTGGAAATGGTGGTTTTCATTAATGCAAAGATCAAGTCTTTAATTAAGCTTTTTAAGAAGAAAAGTAAGTAGTTTCTCCCCACTATGGAGTGTGTGTGTGATAGTTTATCCGCGTGAGTGGTGGAATTAGTGTGAAACAGCATAATTAGCATAGGTTGAACTCTACTCTCTACCAGGTTGTTCAAATATCTCAGACTTTTGTAACTCTAGGACAGAATTCTGTGATTTTAGCATGTCTTATTTACTTACGTTGGAATTTCAGGTGAATCAACTTGTTCTGTTCTTCCAAAAGAAGATTTCTGAAGAAGAGAAGAGAAAACTTGTGTTTACTTTATTTCCACTTTGACAGATGGTTTTTTAATTCTATGGCTAAATGTTCGAGGAGCCCCTGGGTAATCCTTCACATATTTTGAGTGAAGACAGTCCTCTAAAGCTCCCTGGCACTCTCTGTTAGGTATTTTAGAACTCAAGGACAAACTGCCTAGACAGAGCAGTTATTGTTGTAAAGTACACAGCTTTTGTGGTGTGGCTTCATTGTGTACTTACCACTGGTTTCAATTTCTTTAATTCAGGTGCTTCTTCATTCATTGGAAAATATAGTTATTACAAATACATGGGTTTTTTTGTTTATTTTATTTGGATTTTGGACCAGTGATTTAGATAAACTAGATAAATCTGGGCAGACAGGAGAAACTTTGGAAGAAGCAACAAAGACCGGCACTCTGGGCTCATTTTCTGCAGCTCCCTTGGTTAAAGGCTCTTTGGATGGGCTGATCAAATCTGCGCTGGGAAGAGTCCACTCCACCAGGGGAGACAACTGCTCTTTCATGGGAGACAGTTGGTAGCTGTGCGGTGGGGCTGGTGGTGTGATTACACAGACTCAGATACCATTACTCAGATTTGATGTGTAACTGGCAAATAGGAAGAGTCTCAATTTTCAATATTTTCTAACTGTGATATATGGCAGTTCAATCTTTCACATAAGTAGACATCACAGCACAAAACACTCTATTAACTATGGCTTCCCTTTGGGGGACATTTGGTGAATTCTGCACAGTGCAAGATTCTCAGGTATGCAAATCAGAGCTAAGTCAGGTCTTTGTGGATTTTACATGTTAAGATCAATATTTATATGCACACGTTACCTGAAATAGCAGGGGCTTAATTTACACATGTCTTTTGTCAAACATTAAAAGTAGAGAACAGCACAGGACATTTCTGTTTTCAACCTGATGTCTCCTCGTTCTCAATGTTTTTTTTTTTTTTGCCATTTAGCAACGTATGGAGAAGGCAGGATGATTAAAGAAATGAGTTACTTGGAGGCAAGGCTGGTAGAATTTAGTAGCTGTAGAAAAAGTAGTATATGGGGTCAGAGCTTATCTGTGGCTCAGGTTCCCAGGGGTGCTGAGAAAGGCTGTTTCTCTTCAGTGATAGTTCTCAAGTCAGGGGCTCCTTTAGGGTGATTTCACTGCTTCTGCCATAACCATGGTTTACATGAGTTATTTTATTAGCCAAGACTTTACATACATTCATTTGATCTTTATGATAGCTCTAGTACCCATGCTATTAGGAACGTTGAGTTAATTTTGAAGTATATTCAAAGAGGTTCAATGATTCAGACATGCATGTTGATCTTATTTTGAGAATATAGTTTGTGGTCTCATTTCCAGGGACATATCACGCTGTAGAAATGAGTGTGCCCAGTGTGAACCCTACAGCATAGGTCCAAGCTGGGGAAGAGTCGCTTCTGACTCACGATTCTAGTGTCGGCTGGTTGTAGACATCCAGGTATTAGACTTGCCACCCCAGTAAAAACCTCCGTATGGGGTCTTTCTATTAAACTTATTTGTTTCTCCCATGACCGGCTTACAGTGGCAGAAGAATAGTATTAAAATATTATTGATGAATTCGTTTGGTTCTCTCAGCCTCACTGGGCCCCACTGCTACTCCATCTTCGGTTGTGCTGTCAGGAAACTAAGAGACAAAGAGGGCCTAAGCCTTATGGGGAATAAAGGAAAAGTATTATAGAGATTCAGTGTACTATTGCGATTACCTATCATTTCCCCCTTTAATGTTCTCATCTCTTTTGTGTTGGAGAAATTGAGTTGAGTTGGGTGTTGGAAGAACTCAATTGCATTGGAATTTTTTTAAAAAAACATTTTAATACAAAAGTGTACCATGAAAGCAAGAAACGCCGAGAAAATTTTGTGGCACAAATTGATTTCTACTTATACTTTTTAATGTATTATATTGAATGTTTGTGTTTAATTTTAAAAATTTTTAATTGCATTCATAATAGTTTTTTAAAATAATGCAGTAGAAGGGAAATATTTGGTCTCAACCTCTTGACAGGAAATTTGTTTCTGTCTTGACAGTCTCACATTTATTGATGGCATTCTATAATTATTGAATAACACATTTGTTGTGGTGGAGTTAAGCTGGAATTGGAGGTCTCTATCAATCTTGTCAATTATTTTCCAGCATTAGAGTGGAGGAAGGGCCTAAAACACTGAGAAGCAATTAATGGAGCAAACAATTCTACCAAAATATTGTGAGGGATGATGGACAGTTTCAGGTTTTTTTTAGAGGCAACACACTGTAAGAAGGACCCCTGGAATCTCCGATTAAATCTTATTTGGAATTTGCTCCATTTCCCCCTTGCTGGCCCTTAACCCATGGACATGCTAGGCAGCAAAAACCCATCTTGATGTAATACCTTTGGAGCCAATGAAGCTTAGTTTGACACTTGAATTTATTCTATCTTTCCTTCTCCAGCGGTTTCCAACCTAGATGAGGAGAGTAGATGGTCAGTCCACTACACAGCTCCATGGCACCAGCAGGAGAATGTGTTCCTTCCCGCCACAAGACCCCCCTGCGTAGAGGACCTGCACCGCCAAGCCAAGCTCAACCTCAAATCAGTATTAAGGGGTAAGATTTCACCCTGCAAGCTTATTGTTCTTGGGTTACAGATTGTTAGATCTGAAAGCATAAATTTGTTATTTGTAAAAGAAGACCTATTTGTAATGAACATATAGTATGATCTTTCTTCTTAAGATGTCATACTCAATACGTACGACATGCCTAATAGGTTCTGGTCTCTGTAAAACCTGCCTATTTACAGATATGCAGATCTATCCTCCAAGAGCCCAGCCCTGCTTAGGAACCCTGAGCATGTTTAAACCACCAGTACTAATTTAATCCAAATAAACCCATGCTGACATGGAAAATTTTGCCACTGCAAATCTGTTAAAATGAGTACTTTCTAATGGTTTGTGCTGTTGAGTTCAAGTTGGGTGGAAGGGGGACCTATGTATTCAAAGTGGTTTGATTTATCATAACTTGGGCAGCAGCCAACTGAGCTCCTGCCAAGTGTAATTCAGTCAACAGATGGGCAGAGTACACTGTGGTCAGGAGCAACTGTAAGAAGAGTGTGCTCCTATATCTAGTTTAAAAGTCTCAATTTTAGTTTAGTTTTTCGGTCATGTTAAGAAGTGCAAATGTGTGGCAAGGAAGACTTCCTAGAAGTGCCAAACAAGGGAGGAAGTTCTTTTAAAAGAGGAAGGAGTGACTCTTAAGATTCAGAGCCTTTTTCTTAAAACAGCAGACCAAAGCTCTCCGCTGTCAGATGCTGCTTCTACCAGGTTTCTCTGCTGCGCAATATTTGGGACACAATTTTACTAAAAAAGTAGTTGCTGTTTATCTGAAATTTAATTTAACTGGGTGTTCTGTGTCTTATCTAATTGTGAAAGACTCAAGTCTGGAAGAAATCTGGTTTTGATTTCTAGGAAAACCCACCACGAGGCTCCCATGTCACGTTTATTAAACACTTGCCTGTAGGCCAAGTAGAGTTCTAAGCCCATTATACGTATTATCTCATTTAATCCTCACAATAATCCTGCTGCTTACTATTACTACACCAATTTTACAGATGATGAAATGGAGAAGCAAAGATTAGAAATTTACCTAAGATCTCAAAGCGAGTGGTACGACAAGGATTTCAACTTGGACAGTCTAAGGCAGTCTAAGGCTAATGTTCTTAACTGCTGCAGTATATTGCCTATAACAATCATTTGTTGGGAGTCCATCATTCTGGCAGAAGTGCAGAATACAAAGGCAGGGTCTTGACTCTCAGCAGATTTATCCTTTTATCTGTAGGGCAAATTACAATGAGAAAAATACTCAAACAGGTGTGCCAAAATTGTTGTATAGTAATTAAAGAAAGCAGATAACTTCTGCTTAGAGAAGGAAGGAATAGCCTCAAGAACCTCACAACACATTTGGTATTCTGAACAGAACTCTACAAACATTTTAAATCATAGCCCTATTTTTTCTTCCTTTCATCTCTTTTAATGCTTAGATTATGTCATATGTATCTTAGGGTATCTGGGGTCTCACAGACTTAGCATTGAACTGTGCAGAAATGAGGACATGATTGAGTTGCCCTTTTCATTTATCCTAGTAACCTGTTTATTTAGTGACTACAAGCTTAAGAGAGAAGAACTGCATTCCTTGGGCTCTTTTTCTCAGCCCATTCCCTGGCCTTGGAGTTGGACTTTGTTGCTTGCATGATGTACCTAAATCCAACCAAAATTTCTTTTAGATCCCTTTGGTTCCTAGTGGTTTATCTTTAGTAAAGTTTGACAAAGAGCTTCTCTACTTGTAGCTCACCTTCCTCCACCAAATAATTAATAAGAATATTAAATGGCACAGTTCCCAGGACAAACCCCTGGGGCAGAGCCATTGCGAACGTTTCTCTCGGAGCTGTGCAAGGTCTGGCTTGTAGACACTTTCAGGAAGGTATGTATGACTGAATATTCAGGCCCAGCTTTTTTTTTTGATCACTCTCCAGGAAATTATGCTTTACTACCTCTTTCATTTATTTTCAAGCACCAGATCAGAAGGTCCCTTTTCTCCCCTCAGAAAATTGAACATCTGTATACAGATTTTTCCAGTTTTATTTTCCTTTGGACTCTTCAGTAGATCCATATGAAATATCATCACCACTGGTTTTGCCTACACTTGAATTTTATTTTGAAAAGGTAAATGCTTTAGTAATTACCTTAATGCCCTAAATTGTTCATCAAAGGGATTTACTACTAATAAAATTAATAACTTTGGAAAATTCTTGGAGTTAGACTTTTAAACTAGATTTAAACATGCCTTAAGATATTTTAGTGAAATAATTTTAAGAACAGTCATTAAGAAAGATGAGATGAGAAAGTGTTTGAGTTTTTTTTCTTCATTTATTCACTACCAATCACATATACAGAACTTCCTGTAACGCTCTCCCTACACCATGTAAGCCACCTGAGATAAACACAACATGAGTGCAGGCTATATAATGCCTCATTATCAGTGAACGTAATAAGGAAAAAATCCAGACCCCAAATGTAAGGCATTGTTATGTGTTATATAAGGTTATCAGTTTAAGTTAACTTGACTCTAACATTCTCTACTTAAAAATATAGAAAGTAGCTATTATTCACAATGAGTATTCTATTTTGTTCCTTCTGTTCTTCCTGTCTATAATTTTAAGGAAGGAATACTATTCTTTAATATTAAATAGGTTGATGCTTTTCAATAATTATTAAATGCTCATTGTATGAACTGTTCTGTCAGTTGTTATGGGGACCTTAGCTCACCTCTTGAGGATCATAAAATGGAGGGAAATGATACAGTGAGTACTAATAAGTCCACAACCAAGTGTTGTAAACATTTGCCTAATAAAGGAATGCGAGAGCACTTATGGTCAGTACAGTGATTGAGGAAGGTATGAGTTTACTGAAAAATGATTTCATAAAAAAAACAAGACATAAAGGCAGATAATAGACATAGTTAATTTAACAATATTTGAGCATCAGTTCTGTACTGTGCCAGGAGTTTTTGAATGAATGGGTAAAAGTTTATGAGTCCCTAACTTGAAAGAGCTGAGCTTGCTGTGTTGTGTCCAGACAGAAGTAAAGAGACAGTAGTGTAATGGAGATGTGTGCAAGGTACAGCGGGCACCCAGGGAGAGAGCTCTGTCAGCTGGAAAAGCACAGCACTGGGAGACTCTCCCCGCTGCAACTGCCCCCTGGAGAGGAAATGGGTTTTCACAGCGGGTAGAGTGGCCTGTGGATTGCCTGGGGCAGGGGGCTTCCATGTGCGGTTTCACTCTGTTCTGGTACACATAGAGCAGAGACCTTGTGAATTTGTTGATGGCCAGTCTCTAGAGAATTTGATAGAATTGGTTGGCCATGACCTTAAACCAAACTATTTGGTTTTGTTGACTTATTGTTTTATTAGAGATTCAGGTAATGATTTACTGCTAATGATGATAGAAATGTGCACTAAACTTAAAGTTAGTATTTTGATATTTGGCTCAACAGGACATCTGGCTAGCAGTGAATTGTGAATTTCTAAAGATGGAGCCCATTATCCATATTAAATTCACTCAGGTTTTTACTGAATTTCCAGAAGAATTATACCTTTTTAATCTTTGCAGTTGTTTGAAACCTTCATGAACTTCATCAGAGTTGATTGTGATGATGAGTTAACTTTTGTCTAAGTCAGTGTTTATCTGGGTAGTTTTTCAATGTATTAAAGGAGCCCCAGTTAAGTGGGGAAGGGGGAATTGAAGGGTGTGGGATGGGCATGCTCAGGTTCATTGAAAAGTTCAGGTTTCCTTTCTTTACATCCTGTAGACCTCACTCAGTAATTGTGAACACATTAAAGGCTGAAATAAAGACATTTTATTTTTAAGATTCCATCTTCAAAAACCCTGGTGGGGAAATAGATAAGCATAATTTCTCCCAGCATGTTTAACAAGCAGTTGAGTTGCTGTGGCCACGTACACTTCTGCCTGAACCAGGTCGCAGAGCGTCTGCTGTGGGCATCAGGACTGTGATGTTACCTAGTCATGGCGCTTTATCCTGAAGAAAGACATTTTAGCAGGTCCTCCTGCTCTGTGGCTGTAGAATAGGAGTATAAGTATAGGAGAATGTTAAGTCTGGCCTGTGTTGAATCAAAGTCAGGGCTTATATTAATTAGGTAGGAATTGAGGATTTACAATGTGAAAAAGTGACTATTTGAACCAAGGGATTAAAGACAATGGTTTTTGTGTGTGTATACACACCAGCCTGTTCCACCTTAGAGAATGGTGCACCCTTATTAAAATTATGGACAAGGTTTCCAAGTAGTTTCAGCCAGGTTTCTCTGCAGTTCCTGACAAACAGACTTTAAGGGTCTCTGTATCTGTGTTGCATTGTCCTGAAGTTCCCTTTTGAGTAAGCCTGATCTAGGAAAGCTTATAAGGTTCTCTCTGGATTTGGTGAGGAACCTCGGCTGTCCTATCTGTCTGCCTTGAGCACATGAGTCCCTGGGATATCCTAGATGCCCTGTGGTTTGAGCTGTAGATTCGCCTGGGGTCCTGTGGCACTACTCCCAGGATTTTCTCTGAGATGTCTTTATAGGTATGGCCTTGTGTTTGTTGACTGAAAGCTCCGTCTGTTGAAATGAGGCATCTGCTCACCACTTTAGACAGACCCAAGATGAACATCTGCTTTGCCCACCTTGTGCTTATGACATTGAATTCATCTTTTTCTTTTCTGTCATTAAAAAAAATTATGACACATAATATAGACAAATATGTAAAACATGTGCACTTTAATAGAAAACATCTATTTACCATGGTTAAAAAATAGAATATGACCTAAACTCTAGAAACCTCCTGTTCTTGCTTTCTAATAGAAAATATCGCAGAGCGTCTGCTGTGGGCATCAGGACTGTGATGTTACCTAGTCATGGCGCTTTATCCTGAAGAAAGACATTTTAGCAGGTCCTCCTGCTCTGTGGCTGTAGAATAGGAGTATAAGTATAGGAGAATGTTAAGTCTGGCCTGTGTTGAATCAAAGTCAGGGCTTATATTAATTAGGTAGGAATTGAGGATT